CCAGCCACAACTTCCTTGGGCAACCTGTTCCAGTGTCTGACCACCCTCATAGTGAAGAACTTCTTCCTAATATCTCATCTAAACCTCCCCTCTTTCAGCTTAAACCCATTTCCCCTTGTTCTGTCATTAACTGCCCTTATGAAAAGTCCTTCCCCAGCTTTCTTGATTGTGTTAATTGTGTTAATATATTTCTGCTGGAGAGAGTCCAGCACAGAGCCACCAAGATGATGAAGGGAGTGGAGCATCTCCCTGCTGAGGAAAGGCTGAGGGAGCTGGGGCTCTTTAGCTTGGAGAAGAGGAGACTGAGGGGTGACCTCATTAATGTTTATAAATATGTTAAGGGCAAATGTCATGAGGATGGAGCCAGGCTCTTCTCAGTGATACCAATGGTAGGACAAGGGGCAATGGGTGTGAGCTGGAACACAGGAGGTTCTGCTTCAACTTGAGAAGAAACTTCCTTACAGTGAGGGTGCCAGAGCCCTGGGACAGGCTGCCCAGGGAGGGTGTGGAGTCTCCTTCTCTGGAGACATTCAAGACCCGCCTGGACGCCTTCCTGTGTGATCTCATTGAGGTTCCTGCTCTGGCAGGGGGGTTGGACTGGGTGATCTTTGGAGGTCCCTTCCAATCCCTGACATTCTGTGATTCTGTGATTTCTTAATCCCACTTTTATTTTGAAATAATTGTGTTAATATATTTCTTAATCCCACGTTTATTCTGAAAGGAACAGCGTCGGTTGTGGAATTGAAGCAGAGCTCAGTGATGCAGCGTTTCCTTACCGGTTGGATGCCAACTGCCATCAGGTGAGTGTCTACTGAAGAAAAAGTGGAATTAATGTTGTCTTTTCTATTCTATCCCTTCGAGTTTCTGGCTGAAGTCAAAGACAGACAAATCAACATCTAGAAATACTCTTGCCAAAAGAAAACCAAGTGAACTGGGTGACGGGGCCTGTCGTGGTAACGGACGTTGGGACTCGAATGCTGGATTAATTCATCTTCACGGGGTCCTGCTGGTTCTGTGTGTCTCTGTCTACAAATATCTTATATTTAGTAACTGGCCTCCAAGGATTTGCCCAGGATATGGCTCGCAGCCAGCACAGATTAAGGATTACAACAGTCGTATGTTCTTGGCCTTGTTCTTAAATGTCAGGCTTGTTCCTGAGCAGCGGAGGTGACGTGGGGGTGACACGGACGCTCGCTGTGCAGACAGGGCTCGGTGTTGGATCGTGATTGTTGGGGTGTCTTGGAGCACACAGCCAACTTCTAGACCCTCTTACTTGGACATGGGAGCGAGTCCCCTGACACCCAGAATGACTTTGCCCATCAGTGGTGTGTTGTTTGGGGCTGGTTGGATCCCTGCTTCCCTCCATGCCATCACCTGTGCTGTGCACACACTGGGCTGGGAGGTGGGTGGAGAACAGGGTGTTACTGGTGTGGGCTCCTCTGCACCTTGGACACTGACCCGCACAGTCCTGAAACCCTGTTCTCTCCTCCCAGTCTCACAACACTGACTTGTTTTTTTAAGTACAGTGGGATGGAAGCCCCGTGCCTTGGATCTGTGCACAAGCCTTGATTTTATTTTAAGCTGTTGGAGGACATGGAGGTGCTGGAGCGTGTCCAGAGAAGGGAACGGAGCTGGGGAAGGGTCTGGAGCACAAGTGTGCTGAGTTCCCTTGTGGCTGAGGGAACTGGGGGTGTTGAGCCTGGAGAAAAGGAGGCTGAGGGGAGACCTTGTGGCTCTGTGCAAGTCCCTTGGAGGAGGGTGGAGAGAGGTGGGGGTGGGTCTGTTCAACCAAGGCCCAAGGGACAGGACAAGAGGAAATGGGCTCCAGTTGTGGCCAGGGCAGTTGAGGGGGGATGTGAGGAAGGATTTCTTTGCTGAAAGGGTTCTGAGGCATTGGAAGGGGTTGCCCAGGGCAGTGGTGGAGTCCCCATCCCTGGAGGGATTGAAGAGTCGTGTAGACACAGTGCTGAGGGACATGGGTTAGTCATAGGGGACTGGTCAGTGGTGGGTTCATGGTTGGACTCCATGAGCTTTAAGGGCTTTTCCAGTTGAGGTGATTCTGTGATTCTGTGATTTTTCAGGGGTGACTGTGGCCCCTCGGACCTGCCCATCAGCCTCTCCGTTCACTGCCTCGATCACGATGCCTTCCTCTTTGCTCTCTGCCAGGACCACAAACTTCGGATGTGGTCCTACAAGGTGAGTGAGTCCTGGGTTCAGGGGGAGCCGCATCTTCCATCACCGCTCGGGCCATAGTCTGAGGCTTAAGGAACAAAGGCTGGGTGGCTGGAATAGATTTGATCTGCTGTTAAATTGTCCCTGCAACTTCTACACGCTGGGATTTGGGGCAGTTTGTCAGTTTGTAGCCCTGTTTGGAATGCAGGTGGGTTTCCTCCATGGCAAAGCCTCGTGTGTAGGGTCAGAGGCAGCACGAGGTGATTTACAAACATCCTGGAGCGTTCAGGGAGGCAGGCAGGAGCGCTGCGAGGGCAGGGGAGGGACACCAAATGGATTTTCTCCTGCTTGAGTGGTAATAAGAGAGTCTTTGTAACACGGCTCCTCGTCAACAAGAAGTTAATAAAAGCTTCTGCTTGCTGCATGCCACTTGCTCCAAATATCAACGCCAAAGCTAATGGACCAGCACAACTGCTTTCACGGCTCAGCTGCGCTGGAATGCATGTGGGCCTTACAGGGGGGAGGGAGGGAGGGAGGGGAAGCTCCCAAAGCCCATGTGCTCGGTGGGAGAGGGTGCAGGTGGGATGGGGAAAGCTCAACAGCAGTGCAGGTTCACGTCCAGGTGCTTTACTTTAAATCAGAGAAACATTTTGGTTGGAAAAGATCTTTTAAGATCATCGAATCCAACTGTAAACCTGACGCTGCCAAGTCTGTCCCTAAACCGTGTGGGGAAAATCTGGGCTGAGATTAGCCAGAGGGGAAGGATGAGGGACAAGGGCAATTCCTCACTCCTGAGTCTTTTCTCTGCTGTTTTCCTGCTAATCTTTATTTTCTATAGGATCAAATGTGCCTGATGGTTGTGGATCTGCTGGAGTTCATGCCGGTCAGCAGGGACCTGCGGCTCCCGGCCGGGACTGGCCACCGACTGCGCCTGGCCTTCTCCCAGTCCCTGGGGCTTTACCTCGGCGTGTACATGCACGCGCCCAAGCAAGGGCAGGTATGGAGTGAGTGATGGAGTTTCCTCGCTGTGAATGCATCTTTATAGAATCCCAGACTGGTTTGGGATGGAAGGGACCTTAAAGCTCATCCAGTCCCAACCCCCCTGCCAGCAGCAGGGACACCTTCCACTAGACCAGGTTGCTCAAAGCCTCATCCAACCTGGCCTTCAACACTTCCAGGGAGGAGCAGCCACAACTTCTCTGGCCAACCTGTTCCAGTATCTGACCACACTCACAGTGAAGAACTTCTTCCTAATATCTCATCTAAACCTCCCCTCTTTCAGCTTAAACCCATTTCCCCTTGTTCTGTCATTAACTGCCCTTATGGAAAGTCCTTCCCCAGCTTTCTTGTAGCCCCTTCAGGTACTGGGAGGCCGCTATAAGATCTCCCCGGAGCCTTCTCTTCTCCAGGCTGAACAGCCCCAACTCTTTCAGCTTTCTTAGACTGTGCAGAAAATCTGTCATTTTTCCTTGAATTTGGGTCCATAAGGCAAGAAATAGGAGACCCTCTGGAGAGAGCAAAACACTGCGGGATACACATGCCCTCACCCTGGGAGTGGAATTCCCTGTGTGACTAAGCTGATGTGTGAGCATTAGGTCACTTGTTCACCTCCTGTTCTGGTAGGATCCCAAAAGCACGTACGTGCCGTGGGAAAAGAAAAGGTCTGTAAGGAGCTAAAAGCCTGGAAATACTGATAGTGTGTTTATGTCGGGCTCCGGGGAGCGCGAGGACGCATCGCTGTGCGTTGCCAAACGTTGACTTCTGCAGAACTTCTGCTTCTTGTGGTGAAAAATAAATTTAGCAGGACGGGAATGACAACACAGAGCAGTGTCATCTGTTGGACAGCTTACCCTTTCCATTCTCCAGGGAGTTCACATACGGAGTAGAAGTGCGTGTCGTGACTTCTCCTGTCCCACTAGTGCTCTCCTTGCTCTGGTGAGAACATGCAGAGCTTGGTTTGCAACAAGTGGCCTGAAGATTTGGGGCTTTTCCACCTTAGTCTCCTCACTTGCCTGCGTTGTGTTGTCGCTGGCAGTGCCCAGCAGTGGTGGTGTTACTGTTTTTCTGGTTTAGCCTCTCAAAAGACAACTAGAAATCATAGAATCAGACTGGTTTGGGTTGGAAGGAACCTTAAAGCTAATCCAGTCCCAACCCCCATGCCAGAAGCAGGGACACCTTCGACCAGAA